ACTTTCCCATGTGCGCTTTAACAATCCATTCTCAATAACCAGTGAATTCCACTGAGCCCAGAGAGCTTTGAAAACGAGCCCTCTGTCCGCAATATCCTGCCACGGTGGTCTCTCGCCGTTACCTTCCTTGAGCCGTAGTATTGCTCCGATGTCTGGATCTTCCATTTGATCTTTCCTCAATTGTGTCGTCGTCCACTGTTCATCGGTTCCAAGTTTAAACTCCTTATCATGACAGTGCCTTCACGTTGTTCCGTTTTACAGCAGTGCTTACAATCGGTTTGACAGGGTCTTCTGGATAAACCGTCTGCGTTACCATGCATTTTTCCAGCACGATGTTGGATGGTAAAGTGATACTGTTGGAGCTTCTCGAGCCATCGTGCTATTTGACCTTCAGGTTGTTTCATCTCCATAAGCCACTTGAGAGCCGCATGATCTGTCCTAATTAAAAATTCTTGGCCGTACAGATATTTATGAAAATGATCAACTGCCTTTACAATTGCTAGCAGCTCCTTCCGGGTAACGCAGTAATTCCTTTCTGGTTTGGATAGAACTCGACTGTAATATTCTATCACTCGTTCTTCGCCATCTTGCACTTGTGATAGCACTGCACCGATGCCGATGTTGCTGGCGTCGGTATCCAGGATATACCTTCCTTGTTGTTGTGGGTAGGCTAAAATAGGACTTGAACATAAAGCCGCTTTAAGTCTTTCAAAGGCTACATCACAATCGGTGTTCCATTCGTAGCCGACTTCATCACCTGTAAGTTTATGTAAAGGTGCAGCTATGTTGGCAAATCCCTTGACAAATCTTCTGTAATATGTGCATAAACCCAGAAAACTTCTAAGTTCATGTTTGTCGCGAGGTTTAGGCCAATCCTTGATTGCAGCGATTTTCTTCTGGTCGGTGTAAATTCCGTCTGCTGAGACTACATGACCCAAGAATTCCACTTGTCGCTGGAATAAACTACACTTCTTCGGGTTCAAGTACAGGTGAGCATTCCGTATGCGGCCGAAGACATCTTCTAAATTTCGCAAATGCTCCTCAAAAGTTCTTCCCATAACCAATACATCGTCGAGGTAAACCAAGCACGTTTTCCAAGTTAATCCTCTTAACACCACCTCCATGAGACGTTCGAAAGTGGCTGGAGCATTGCATAATCCAAACGGCATGACCTTGAATTGGTATAGTCCGTTTCCTGTAGAAAAAGCCGTCTTTTCTTTGTCTTCCTCGTCCAGACCAACTTGCCAGTATCCACTCTTTAAGTCGAGAGTGGAGAACCAGCACGAACCTGCCAGTGTGGTTAACGTGTCGTCTATACGTGGCAGTGGGTAGCTGTCCTTCTTAGTGACGTCATTGAGCTTCCGATAGTCCACGCAGAATCGTGTACTACCATCTTTCTTCGTCACCAAAACAACAGGAGATGACCATGGACTCGATGATTCTTCGATAACTCCATCTTCTAGCATCTTATCTACCATTGTCTCCATTTCTTGTTGTTTGGAAAGGGGCACCCTTCTAGGACGTTGTCGAATCGGCTGAGCATGACCAGTATTAATCCGGTGCTTCACAAAATCCGTTTTCCACTGTTATTTTTCTCAAAAATACCGCCATGCTTTCGCAGGAACTGCTTAGCCTTCTGTTTCTCCTCATATGTTAGGTGATCCCATGGCTGTTCTAGATGTTTTAGTGTTTCTTTGGATGCCATTTGTGTAACAGCTGACGACACTTCATCACATCGGGTGACACTTCTTACAGGTTCGCAGATGGCTATCTTGTCACCTTTTTGAATCTTGACACAATTCGGGAAAACATTCGCAATTCTGATCGGTATATTCTTGTCGGTGTTCACCAATGACTTTCCTACTAAGTACCTATCTTGTTTCTTGTCGCCACTTTTTACCAGTCCAACACAGCACCCAGCGATTTTCTCCACTTTACCGAATACGATCTTCTCGGTATTACCAGGTATCACCACAGTTTCCGCTGATCTTACATCCATTCTGCCTGGTCCCTCGTCTGGAGATAACATGAACTCTTCATATCCAATATTTAAGATATTTCTCTGGTGATCGAACGAAAATCCATGTTGACGAATCATATCCATGCCCAAGATGAAGTCATCTTCAATATCTGCCACTAAGACGCTATGCTGAAACTTCAAATTTCCTAACTTCAGTTCGACGATAGCCTTTCCCCGTGCAACGGCCATTTCCCCCGTAACTGTACGTAAACACACTCTTCTTCCCAGAGACATCAGCTTCAATCCTTGCACTGAGTTAGCCCGCACCAACGATACCATAGCGCCAGTATCCACAGTCATTCGAATTCCCTTTCCATTGACTTTCCCGTCGATCACCAAGCTGTCAGCGGTTGTTCCTAGACTCCTAATGGAAAAAATCCTGGGGGCTCTGTTCTCCCCAGTCAATACTCGCCCCTTAGTATTGACTGATTTTAGTTTTCCTGGTGCCTACGTTCTCTGGATGCTGAACGGGATCGCATGAACGCGGCAATCCCGTTTGATGTGGCCATTCCTGCCACATCTATAGCACCTTATGTCCTGGGATCTTCTCTGGTTCTCTGTCTGGTTATTGTTGACTCCCTTGTTTATTAGTAGCTCACATAGTTTGTCGAATTTTCTACACATCTCCTCCAAACTTCTGTGGGTACTCTCGGGCTGTTCCTCTACCGTTACCGATCTTATCTTCGGTCTAGGGATGGCGCTAAAAGCAGCTTCAATTTCTAGCGCCCTGACCAGTGCTTCGCTGCTGGTGGAAAATCGGGATATTTGCAGCGCCCTCTGCAATTCGTTGTCCCTCAGTCCGCTGATAAAGCACTGAGCAGCGAGTTCCTCCCTAAATCCTTCCGGTGCCTCAGGATACGCTAGGTGTACCAGCCGACGTAAGTCTGCTTCAAATTCCTGCAGACTCTCCGGACCTCTGCAGGCGTGTCTTGATCTGTGCCTGGTAAAGTTGGCGTCGATGTTGGTCGCCATATCTTCTGTCCAGTGCAGCGACCAAGTTTGATATTCCTGCTGTTGGGCTGCAGGAATAGTTTGCAGTAGTTCAGGGCAGGGCCACGCAGCGCGATGACAAGTGCCGCTGCTTTCTCCTGGTCAGTCCATCCATTGGCAGCAGCCGCTGCTTCAAACTGGCGGTGGTACATCGTCCAGGTGGTTTTGTCCATCGTAGGTCGGGGCCTTGAGGGTTCGCAGTTCCATGAACGCCAGGTGTCTTTACTTGTACCTTGGTCTTCTGTAGGTCCATCTCCAATCTTTCTATCTTCTGCTGAAGGCGCTCCTCCAGATCTTCTACAGCTTCTTGGAAGTGGTTCTGTTGTTCCTGGCAACGTACTTCCAACATTGATTGTTGCTTTTTTTCCATTTTTTCGAAACTTTTCTTGATACGGTCCTGCTCTTCAAGCTTTTCTTCTTGTCGACGCACTTCAAAACCTTGTAAAATTTTCTCGATCCGGTCCTGTTCCTCTTGTCTTTCTTTTTGATGACGCGCCTCTAAGCCTTCCAGAATTTTCTCAACCCGGTCCTGTTCTTCTTGTTTTTCTTTCTGCCGACGCACTTCTAGATTTTCTACAATTTTCTCCAACCGTTCTTGTCTGATTTCTTGATTCTCCATAAGCATTTTCTGTAGTTGGTCTTGTTCTTCTTGACGTCGTAATTTTTCCTCTTCCTTTTCTCTTTCTAATTTCTCCATAAAATCGCCCAATAATTTGCTTACTTCCTCCATTTTCTTCGCTTGCTGTCTCGTACCAACCATAAAAATTCCCAAATTCGGTGTAAAAATCGTCCAATCCACTTAATTTCTTCTTAAAATCCTCTTGAATCCCACTTCTGACACCAATTGTTACGGATTCCGTGGGTCCACTAATTTAAACTCACGATAAAATACTTAACGAATTTATTTTTCTTACTTTATACACAATTACTAACTTATAACACACAACAACTAACTATTTATAAGATTCCTTCACCAAATTGTCCGATTTTCAATTTCCACGCGGTATATTCAAATTTCAAAAAACTGTCTCAGTGGTCGATGGCTCCGGCTTATATACTCTATTGACTGCTTCTCGAAATTTCCCCAATTCTCGGAAAGCGTACTTCTTCATACCAGACAATTCTATTGTCTGATTCCCTTACTTCTCGACTTGACTAAAAGATGGCGCCTGAAAAAGTCTTTTAATTTCTGGCGGATACGTTGCGGTTGTGCAGGCAACCAGTAATACATTTTTAATTTCTGGCGGATAGGCCATTTTTCTTGACAATACTTTACGCAAAATTGTAAAAATTCCAGGGATTTTGTGCCTAAACGGTTGACTTTAGCGAAATTTTTCATATAACCTTTTTTATAGAAAATTTTATTCTCTTTAATTTTGCTTTCTTAAAATTTTTGCGAAAAATGCATAGTTTTCGATATATTTACAAAATACCGATTTTGAGCGCCATCTTGGCAAGATGGCGGCGCCGGCGAGAAGTCTGGAAATGTGCATTTTATGGATTTTAGTTAGGGAACCCAAAACCTATAAACTTGCAAAGTTTCAAAACTTCCGGACTTTTTTCCAAACAGGCCCCTTTTTTGATCCCCAATGACTGAACTATAGAGGGTAAGAGGAAACTGAGTAGACAACTCAAAAGATACAAGGATGGTTTTCATGAAAACTTAAAGGGAATAAGTATGCAGCATAAGTGGGAAGAAGCAGCACACAATAGAACGCAATGGAGGAGAATTGTAAATTCTGTTAATAATGACAACCAAAAAGTAAAGAGGCAACAAAGTAATGAGATTTTTGAATGTCCGGAGAGCGGAAGAGAGATAACATCACGTATCGGGCTTTTCAGTCACAGAAAAGCTCATGACAGGAAAAGCTTTGCGTAACCATCTTTTGATGCGTGTCAAATACTCGTGAGCGAGTAATGGCAGTAAGTAAGTCATGTTCAATGTTAGTAACCATCTTCGCAATGAAAGATAAAAAATGTCTTTATGTACCTGGTAATGTAAATATCTTCTCTCTTTACAGTTCCATCTCCGATTTTGGCTTTTAAGGCTTCTCCTACTTCCGGTTCGTTACCATAAAGGTGAGCACAGTCTATGTGACGGTAGCCTATGTCTATGGCATCTTTTACTGCTTGTGTTACCTCACCAGGTTTGGACTGTAAAATAAGCAGTCAATATTATATAAATTGTTATAGGATCATCAGGTTGCTAGAGAGTGCAACAGTTCATGTAGCAATACAATCATACGGTAATCCCTCGAAGCGATATCTACGATCGCTTACAAAATATTCTATAAAAACTAACGCTAGGAGGTGTTTTTAGGCTTGTCTATTGTAGCTATTCCAGACTAAAATATTGAACGAAAACTGAAATCACACGTTTATAGCATCCAAACATCAAAATATATCTAAATCTTTCTAAATTAAAATTTTAGCGTATGAAAAGGTGTATGGATGATTGCATTATATTTTTATTTTGTATAAAATATAAAATATAATATGACTATACCGAATTTGTCTGAAAAGTAGCTCCCCCCATAACTATTTTATTTTTTCAGGTAAAACATCGAGATTTGGTATGTGAGTATGATATAAATGAGGATTGATTGATGTATTCAATTCTTTTTGGTCACTTCCTGTTTTACCGGAAATGGCTACAATACTGACGATTTATTGGTGTTGCGAAAATGCAGAGATAAGGCTTTGCAGAAAAGCTTAGCTGCAAAAAAGTGCAGAAACAGTTTAAACAGTATTTTAATAAACTATAAAAGTTTTTTTATTTAAAATATATATCCGATTATATGCACAATTCTATTTTAAAAACACACCTGGTTTTTATTAGTTCACATAACCGAGCGTTTACTGTAGTATACCGTGCTGGCAACTTTTACTTTTGGGTCGGCATTTACGTGTGTGGAAGTAAATCGCATAGGGATCTTATTAAGTCGGAGTGAGAGAAATGCGACCTACCGACGCGACACGCGACGGTGTGCTATTGCGGCGTTGCCGATACGCCTTTCCCTATCAAGTAAAGTAAAATCACGATCGCAAACCGCTTATTTTTAAAAGACTCTTTTTTCAAGAGATAACTAGATAAAATCATTAGACATGTTTCTGAGCATCTGAAATGGAATTATAATGATATCGTTAGGATGTCATTTTTTTATAACGAGAAAATGTCAGTAATCGCGATAATTTAAAACTCAACTTTTTAACACATAACAGGCCTCAAGGACCACTTTAGATATTGAAACTTTTTTTTATTTTCAAGATCGGATATTTTACAATATGTTCGATAAGGTTGTTTTTACCATTCAAAAATTGTAAACAATCCAACCATTTACTTTTAAAGCATAGCAATTTTCAGCAATCGTGTAATTTTTTTATTGATAAAGATTTTCACATACTGTCTACAAAGAAAATACAGCAGAAATATTAACAAAGTTCTTGAAAAAACTACAATCTCTTATTTCTAATAGATTTCGAGATATCGATTTTTGAATTCAGAGTTCTTATAGCGCGACCACTATCGAACACCCACTCAATTCCACTTATTTTTACCAAAAATGCAAGTTTCTAGCTTGCACTTAAAAAAATTCAAGCTACAGCGAAAATGACGACTCGTTAATAAATAAACAAATCAAGTATCACGAGACGTAATTAAATCGTGAAGCTGAACGTATGACGTACACCTTTCCCTAGAACTTTAAGTACTGACAGAGGTATTGATTGGGTCGACCGGTCAACTGCGACAATCCCTTATGCTATATCTATCCTCTTCCACGTCTCTTAGCGATGTGCACAGTTTCTCGGTTTATTTCATACGTTTGACAACGTGTTTACTGTCCTCTCTTTGTTCAGTACATTATAAACGCATTGTACTCTTCTTACATACGGAAATCTCGACCCAAGACTAACCTTTGCCAGCCCTTAGTATATGATCTAGGGATAATATGAACAACGCAATAAATTAAATAAAAGCATGTAAAAAGAATTATACTCAATGGGAAGTATTTAGCCACTATAATTTTAAATTAAATCAAAGGTTAAAGTTGACAGTCATGTTATTATCAACGTAAGTGTGATTAAACCTAACTAAGTGATAAAACTAATAACAACATGATAAAAATTTAAGATATATTTGATGACATAATTAGAATATCGGCTGTTAACCTTGAAATTTTCGCCGTTGTATTTTTAACGCAACATCTGTACATACAAAATAATAATAAAAAAAATTAAAAGAATTTTCTTTTTTTTACTTGGAGTTGTTTCTTAATATGACAGGATAGCTTACAATAAAATATATATATATATATATATATATATATATATATATATATATATATATATATATATATATATATATATATATATATATATATATATATATATATATATATATATATATATATATATATATATATATATATATATATTATATTCTTTCATAAAAAAAACAATATAACCAATGTCAAAAAAATAAATAGTAAATAAAGCTTATGCTAAAGCCGGTCCCAGACCCTACGTGCATTTGTGGTGGTGTAATATCTAGTAACCAACATGGTTTTATGACGGGTAGATCCACCTTTACGAATTTAGCATGTTTTACGCAATATATATCTGAATGCATTGATAGTAATGGGCAGGTGGATGTTATATATACGGACCTTGCCAAAGCATTTGACAAATTAAATCATTCTATATTACTGGACAAACTTAACTCTATGGGTTTTACTAGACCATCTTTATTATTTTTAAAATCTTATCTCTCTCAAAGAAAGCAATTTGTCTCATATAGTGGCTACTGTTCGACTGACTATATTGCTACGTCAGGAGTTCCTCAGGGATCAAACCTGGGCCCACTTTTATTTCTATTATTTATTAATGATCTAGATAATATCCTTAAGTGTTTTAGACTATTTTTTGCTGATGATTTAAAAATTTTCTTGCGTATATCGGATAGAGCGGATTGTAGTTTCTTGCAGACACAGATTGATCGCGTTGTAGAATGGTGTGATGGGAATAAACTAAAGTTAAATGTTGATAAGTGTAAGATAGTGACATTTTCCAGAAAAAAGAATGTACAGTATTTTAATTATAATATAAATAATACCGAATTGGAACGACTTAGTGTAATCAAAGATCTTGGAGTTTATTTTGATTCGTCTTTTTCATTTAGTGATCATATTATAACCAAGGTACGAGAGGCTCTTAAATTTTACGGCTTTATAGTTCGCAACTGTGCGTCTTTTACTGACTCAAATGCATTTTTAATATTATACTCAGCATACATTCGATCTAAACTGGAATATGCTTCATTGATTTGGTACCCTGTGTATACCTGTTACAGGCAGCTTATTGAGAGAGTACAGAGAAGATTTTTGAAATTTGTTTCATATAAAGTTAGCGGAGTGTATCCTGAAAGGGGTATTCCCAACATTAATTTAATTAGCACCTTTCAGTTGCAAACTCTCGATTTGAGAAGAAAGTGTGCATCAATAGTCTTCCTGTATAAGCTGTTGCATAATGCGATAGATAGTTCTGAGCTTGTTGCACATATAGATTATTTGGTTCCTAACATTTTATTGTGCCAGAGCCAGAACTAATTTGTTGCTTAAATCTCCAGTTTATGTCATGTGTAGCAATTATAACGTAATATCTGATAAATGTGATATTTTCTTTGATAACTTAAGTCACATAATTGCTTTAGCTAATATGCTGCACAGCGGTGTGATTTGAGTTTTTTTTGTTTATATAGTGTTTTGTTTTTATAGTTTGTTTATATTTGGATTTTTTTTTGTTTTGTTCATCTGTACTTGATATCTGATTTTGGTATCATTCACCTTTCAGTGCTTTTTACTTCTGTTAATTTTTAAGATTTAATTTACATTGATATGTTTTTTTCATTTATTTTTTATTTAGAGGTTAATGTATTACTAATTTATAGATATATATTGTAAAATTGTCCTATAATTGGTTTGTAACTGTTGGGCAATAAAGATATTATTATTATTATTATTATTTGGCGAATGTGCGAACATTGTACTGCGGCTTCGGCCACACGCTACGTTATTTGTAAAAATGCGTCCAATGACAAATATTTCCCGTAGTAGAGCAACGCAAGAAATACACAAGTGAACTGAGGGAAGCGCGCCGCTAAAACAAAAAAAACATGTAAACAAATAGCCGTAGCGTCTGGGAGTAATTCCGAAGTTGACTACGTCGCACTACGAGCTCCTTTGATTCGTGCCAGTTTACTGACAACCGGCGCCGGGAAAATGACGAAGTATGAATCTTCGTCGAAGGTAACCTCCCACACGCTACGCGAATAAGCTCGAATACCGAATATTCGCCAAAGGCACGTAGTGTCTGGGACCGGCTTAAGCTTCTCTAAGAATTTTTTGTAAATTGATATGATAATTGAACTCAATCTGATTTTGATATTTACTGAACTTTTAAATTTTGCAATTTTTTCAATATTGTAATGGTTTTTAAATACAAAATATACACTCCGGTACGAAAAACGGGCACCTTAAAATTTTGATGCGTTTTATAGTTTAATCAGTGCCGTAAATACCCTTTTCTGCGCCCTGTGCGAGCTTCTATAACTGCGCCCTTGTTTTTATTAGATATTATAGGTACCCTAGAGCAATGCTATGTATAGGCCTACTTTATTTCATTCAGGGTGATAAAATAAAGCACAAAGAACTTGAGGTTGGTGGACCAATTATCTAATATTTTGGAAAAAAAATATCTACTTTTTTAAACAAATGATGTGGGCAAACAATGTCATTTGACAAACGCGAGACATTTGATTTTAAGTGAACCCTTCGCCTATTATATCATACCACCCACTATGTCATACTCACTAAAAGATGCTGCTTAAGATTTAAGTTTTGGGTCACTATATGATCTTCATACTTCTATAATAAAATAACACCCTGCGAAGTTTCAGTAAACTATAAATTAATTTAATTTGAAGTACTTGGTATGGTAGAATTTTTGAATAAGGAAGGAAGGTAGCATAATATAAATTGCATTTAAGAATGAATTAGTGAAAAAACTTTTATTGGAAAATATTTACAAGATTATTCACAACTACACAATACACAAATGAATAAGACTACAAATGAATGAGTTCAGATAGTAAAGATTTATTAAAGCAAGCCATAAACTTTTTTAAAGATTTACTTTTCGCGCTTTCTTCATTGCGAAATCGTTGAAAACCTTTTCATACGATAGGCACCGTCCTATGTCGCGTTCAATTGAGAAAATCGCTAGGCCGGTAACCTTGCTTGGCCAATCATCGAGCGCAAGTAAGATTTTATTAATTTAAGCTTACTGAATGATCTTTTGCAGGAAGCTACAGTCACTGGCATTGTTAAAAAAAATCTTTATAGCGACTACTATATTGGGAAACATCTCTTTTAAATCTAATTCTGCCATTCTTGCGTCCCCCAGAGTCTACGCCCTGTGCCTGGGCACCGGTGGCACTGCCCTATTTACGGCACTGAGTTTAATATATTTTGTTCTAGTTGATCGATTTTGATGGATCCCTTTCTAAATTAAAAATGAAAGATCCTATCTATAATTATACGAGGCAAAACAAAATGTTTATATTTTGATGAAAGTTTGAAACATCCTTTCAACAAGGAATTTAAAAATCAGTTCATCTAGGTAGGTACATCCTTTCTCGATAATTTGTATTTTGGTTCATCTCAATATCTTTATTTTTGTTTTTGTTTGGTCTTAATTCGCTTTTGAAGAAGACACTCATTTTTTTCGTAATTTTTACACTAAAACCATGCCTTTGCTTTTGGTGCTAGTCAACAAACATGTGTACGGTATACTTCTCACAAATGGTTATAGTTTTGACAGTAACTATCGGATAGTACAGTTCGGGAGGGTATTTAGGTTTTTATTATTTGTCCAACCAAATCTACTATATAGTAAACCTGCACAACATTTATGCAAACAAAATTACGAAATTGTTATACATGTTCAATTTGTAGTCGTCTTGTTAGTGTAGAGTATGCACTCACTTGTAATCTACAGTGAATCCATGGTTTGACCCGACACATCCTTTTCACTATTTGTTTTTGTTTCTTCTGTTGCGAAATTTTGTAGCATACAATGGCGGCAGCCAGTTTTTGCTTAACCATATTATTTAAATTTTATAACAGAACTCACATCGCACAAGTTGCTCTGGACACGGGGTAAAGAGCACTCTCGTGGTTATCTCCGATTAGGGAATGCAATCCCGCACCAAAATTTCAATCCGGCAAACCCGCGGGATTAAAGCAATCAATCCCGCGGATCCGCAAAATTACGGGACTGTAAGCAATAATAGTCCTAAATGGTACAAAAGGCATTGTACATTTTGCATAGGTCCACAATATATTGATATAGCGTATATCTTAAACTAGCTGTACAGAAATTTGGACCGATGTATACAGGATGTTCGAAAAATATATTTAATATTAAACAAACTTAAATTTTATTATAATTGATCTACTTATTTTATAATTCAAAATATTATTCTGATGGATATTGAAGTTGGTTAGGTTTTTTTAACTTGTGTTAGTTATCTGCTTTTAGATACACTCTATATCAATAATTTTTGGCATATGTAGAATGTACAAAGCTTTTTGTACCATTTAGGGCCATACGTATGACTAAAAATGCATATTTTTCGAAAAAACTTCGTATTTTCCTTAAAACAAAGAAAATAAAAAACCGATCATATTGTTTTTTCTAATTTCAGTACAGATTAGTCGTACTTGGTAAAAATTTCGATTTTTTAAAAATTGTAAATTTCCGGTAAAAAAGATTCTTGGCCAAATTTTCTTACTCTTATAAAACACCCTGTATACGAGAATTCGCTAAATATATTTTCGAAAACCACATAGCATCTTAATCACAATAGATGCATCTAAAAAATGTCCAAACCGCATCCCAAAATCTTTTTTTAGTTCAAGACATATTCAACTTTATATTTACCCTAAAATTTTGCTTGTCCTGATAATTATGTCCGCCAGTTTATTTGACGAAATTGTCCACAAGTACTAGTTAAACGCTTTTCTTCACTTACGCACATACGCCAGAAAGAAATCTAACAAGTGCTTGTTTCACTTATTTTTAATGGCCAAGCCGAAAGGGGAATCCTTCGGGTTCCGAGCGTCGACGCCTCGGCCCGGAACCTTCCCGGAACGAAACGGTTTGACCTTGATCGAGATCGAGTTACCCAGTACTAATGTGTCAATCCCGCAGATCCCGCCCGGTAAATCCCGCAACTTTGATCCCGCGGAATCTCAGAGAGATCCCGCATTTGCGGGATTGCATTCCCTATCTCCGATATAACCCGGAGAGTAAAAATTCGCGAATTTTCTCTCAAATGGACAAGTTCAACTCTCGAGAGTAACTCTCGCGAGAACATCTCAAGTGGGCACCTAGCTTAATATTACTGAATTAAAATCGTCAACATTTTAGGAGCAATTTAAGAGAACTATCTTAAATTATTAATAACTTATTTATAAACTTACTTTCCATGTTCCTAAACCAAATACTGGAAATTCCTGTCCGTTATTAAACTTAATTTTTGGTACTTTGCTAGCCATATTTATAACACGACTGATAACACAGATTCACTCCGTATCAATGAACTAGGAAATAACGTAAGACTGTGTCGTGTCTAAATATATACGTTCGTAGTCTGGTATTGTAAATATTCTTGTTATCTTATGGATACATTGGATACGTGCGATATTTTAGACGTTTGTTTGTTTTTCTGTGCATTGTCGTACAGTTTTACAAGATATTTCGAATTCGATAGAAAGTTTTATCTTGTTAAGTACCATATGATGTATAGGAAATTTACGATAAATATCTGCTACTGCGGTTACTAAATAGACTCATATTAATTCTCTCCGATGTAGGATAAGTTTGCATTTTCAGCTTATTTCTGATATTTTTACGCACGCTGGGAGTAAAAATTCAAGGCCGTGACACGACACGCGAGACGACAGGTGAGAGGAAAAGTGGTAAAGACAGCCTACGGCTTAGAAAAAATCGTCCGATTTAAATGAAATTTGGGAGGTCAATAGATTGGACCAAGGCCAACTTGACCGTGTATACGGCACGTGTATATGGTCCGATTTTGGTGGGTAGACTATGTGAGCGACGGTGTATACGGTCTCACCCTGCAAAGTTGGATACGTCGTTTCGTTTACATCTTCATCAGGGTGATGGGATTCTTCTTCTTCTTAAAGTGCCAAGCAGATTCCTGCGTAGGCGACCGTCCATTTGCATCCTGTCAGATTTCTCTATTTAAAGCAGCATTTTGGAGAGACATAAAGTCATGTATTCCCGTCCATTGTCGAATGTTCCTGAGCCATGAAAGTTTTTTTCTTCCTATTCCCCTTTTTCCTTCGATTTTTCCTTGTAGGATAAGACGTTGGAATTCATAACGAGGACCACGCAGGATGTGTCCCAAATAAGACGTCTTTCTTTTCTTAATGGCGTCGAATAGTTCACGGCTAGTCAGACCGGCTTTTCCAAGGACTTCTTCATTTCTTACCAGGTCTGTCCAAGGGATTCTAAACATTCTTCTAAGAGTCCACATTTCAAATGCCTCCAGTCTGTTTATCGAGGTTACTTTAAGAGTCCAGGCTTCGACACCATACAAGACGGACCAGACATAACATTTGGGGGGTGATGGGATTAAGGGTTTGATATTGTGATTCGATTCCGGCATACTTGGTGACGGGTTACAGGATGACGCCTAAACGTTTCGAACCGATGCCTTTAAATGGACAAAATATCAGAATTTTCCTTAATTTAAAATTTATTTCATCTTACTGTTCCACGGACCAACTTATCCACAAAGGCGTCATTGTATCAAGCGTCTTCAAACTATAATACTCTTTTACTATCTTCCGATGAATGTTCCGATGAATATGTTTAACATTTCGGCATCAGCAAGTTTCAAGAATAAAATTAAGTGGTTGCTGTCTGGGGCATATGAGTGAGATCTATACAACTCCTTAGTTAAACTGCTGCCACCATTACAAGATTCGATCATCTGGTTTTTGGCGTATTAAAAACACGGAAATGGGACACTCTGTATATTCGATTTTTACTTTAGTTCCCCTGTAAATGAATTGAAATACTTCAATATTGGCATGAATATTTACAAAAATTTTGTTAGAAACCCAAAATAGAATAAAACATTTATATGTGTCCAATATTCTTGTAGACACTGTATAATTGTAGAGAGTATTTTTCCCCAAAAATATGAATACAAAATAAAAAAAAAACTTAAAAGTGACAATTTTTGTTGTTATTTTGTTGATTATGTTTAAGTTTAAGTTAAAAGACTATAAGACGAGGGGTATTTCGCAGGGGAATTTTGGTATACAACCTCTAGGAATTATTGGGGAATTAGTAGGGAATTAGTAGGGAATTAGAGGAATTAGTAGGGAATTAGAAGAATTAGTGGGGAATTAGTAGGGAATTAGAGGAATTAGTGGGGAATTAAAGGAATTTAGTTGGGAATTTGTTCTCCTATAGATGATAGTAACTGCATCGATACAAATACCTCATTGCAAAATTACGCAAAATCGATATCCAGAATGAGAATAATGTTCTATCTAAATGGAATAGAAAAAAATATCAATGGTGTGAGAGGGAGAGCCGAGCTAGAGAAAGATTGGTAGATGATCAAAGTTTAATCACGGATTACTTTTTCATCGCTGAAAAAGTGAGCGAAATAGTCATTAAAAACAGTGAACTAGCCAAGGAACTTTTGGAGAATATAAGTGAATTAGAAACTGACCAAAAGACTGATATACCGCGACTTCTCAAAACATTGCAAGATGTATCACTCAAAAATTCTACTTGCTCAATCAAAATAGGTAGGATGATGCTCCAAAAAAAATATTTTATATTGGAGGCAGGTTACTGTACGAAACACTACAATCAAATTTGACAAATAGCTTACCCTCAATTTTTACGCTAAGTAGATTCGTGGACGCTAAAAACGACGCCCTACAAGAAGATGAATTTGATTTCAAAGGCCTTCTAAAATTCCCAGTTGATAGAGGCTTACCAAAAATTGCCTGCAAAACTATTTAATTATAATTACCACTCGTATGACAGGCAAAATTGTATACGACAGCAGATCTAATAATGTGATTGGATTTATTTTGCCACTGAGTGAGAATTAGGAATTAGGAGAATTAGGGGAATTAGTTGGGGAATTAGAGGAATTAGTTGGGAATTAGGGGAATTAATGGGGAATTAGTATAAATTTTGGGAATTGGTGTACACATTTTATCCTGCGGTTTACCCCTCGCTATAAGATTATGGTTCAACAAAAAGAAATAATTATTAAGGCTAGTGCTAAACAAAAGTAAAACAAATATGTCGCGAAACCTCTAACGAGGGGTAGGGGACTCAAAACCTCACAATCTTTACTTTGAGTCCCCTTTTCTGCCCCTCGTTAGAGGATTTGCGATTCAGATGTACTTACACTGGGTTAGAGAACGTTTAGTTAAACAAATATGTCTCGTAAATATCGGCGTTTACCCAGATCACGGAATTACAAGATATTAAAAGAGGAAACATGGATATTTTTGTTGGAGTTATTGGATCCCTAAAATTTGGGTGCAGATACATTGGCCTTTTTATTTAAAAATAATATATTTTTTTGTTGCGATATTTTCGACAATAAGTCGTAAACTTTCGTTTTACCTATCTAAGAAAAATATTGTCTTCTTATTATTGTCTCTTAATTATGGGTGGATTGGAACCAAACTCGGCACGTGGATAGATGTATCCGAATGAAGTCCTCAGACGGATAGAGAGAGGGTCATTTTAATACACATTTTGTAAAAGAGAATTAAATTATTAATTAATCTTTAATTTATTATTCTTTCGACATTTCAAATTACATTTTTTCAAATATGTCCTTGAATTTCTTCAATTTAATAGCTGTTAGTAAGACGTTTCACTTCAAATATGCTCACATAGTGCACACACATTTTTTTTGTTTTAATTGACACAAAGTGATAACTCTAGTTGTTAAAATTCAACTAATTTGATAGCTATGTTTAAGTAACGTAAGACATATCATAGCCACCTAGATGTTATCAAATAATAAAGATCTACTGACACTAAAACATAAAAATGAAAATACCTACGAAAATATTTGTTTGAGGGGTAGGCAACCTTAATATTATTTTATAGATAGAGGCATGAATTCCCATTGAATATCGGAATAATTTACTGGGTTTTCCATTTAACATAGAACTGTAACTTGCTTTTAAAAGTGGCCAATATTCAATATTAACATTGTTTCACCCTGTATAACTTTTTGACTTATGTTGTAATTTGTTTTAAATTACAATAGTTATTTTACCTACATATTAGGCTGTAAAAAATGTAAATTCCAATTTAGGTAGCTTTTATTGAAACTTAAAATTTGTACTTTAGTTTTAGAAAATGTTAGATAATGTCAAAAACCTTACATCTTAGCAAAACATATTTTAATACCCTACATAATATTTCAAAAATTTTAACGGTTTTGCAAATATTCTGTTTTTATTACATTTATGGCTCTTTCAACTATAAAATACCAGACTGATATTGACACAAGATAGAGATTTTGAAATACTTTGAATATAAAAAATGGAAATGGGTATCCCTAACAGGGTGTGCCATTAAAAAATCATCCCAATCCACTCACACTTTTTTGAGCCATCCTGTAGAGGTTTTTTATTATGTTATTAATTATTTATAAATTCAATGCATTTTTTGTGTCTTTTTTGTTAATGAACTGGTGATAATTGTATGAATTCTGAAAAGCGATTGAATGTCCTATTTAACAAAATGCTCTAAAACATAATTTTAAAAAAATCTTTATTGCTCTCCAACGGACTTTTACACATCATGGTGTTATTCAATTTTAAAATGTAGTGCATGGCATACAAGAATTTCTATCAATTTTTCCATTTTAAACATATAAAATACTAAAAAGCAAATTAATAAAGTATTACAATAATTACAAAATTATTATTATTCTAATACATTATATTTAACACAATTCGGTGAATAGAAAAAAAATATATTGCTTCATCTAGTACTCATCACGGATGAAAGGGTGGTCTTTGTGATCATAAGCACTGAAAAAATGATAAACTAAATATTAAACATAAGCTCCGGGAATATAGGTTTTACTAGCATACTATTTATTAGGCTTTGATAGAGAATTTAATACATTTTCAAATTTTACGAATATGTAAATCTAGAAAACAAATATAAATTTCTTATGAAGTAATTTTATTGTTCTTCAAATGTTCTTCATTCAAAATAAATATTTTCCTTCAAAAATACAGGGTGAGTTTCCTACGCTGTTATCTATGGGTATCTCGGAAACTACTGGAGATAGAGAGTCGGTTAAAAGGGCAAAGAATTGCTGTTTTGTGGGGTCATAAATATGCGCTGTTCAGATTTTTGAAAAACTTCATGGCTTACTAGATATTTCGAAAAAAACAAATTTCGATTATTTTAAAAATTGCCCCAATTCCATTATAATCTATTTTAGACAAAACGTTTTCAGATAAAAGTTGTAGATAATCACATCCTTAATGAAATTGTGTCCACCGTTATTTTCTAAAGCCTGTCATTTTTGAGATATGACACAAATACGTGTTTTTTTAAATGTAAGCCATAGTTGGCCATGACTTTATAAAAAGCGCCATTTTTTAAGCTTTTTAGAGATATAAGCTATAATATGTTTTCTTGGAAAAATTACTGAGTTGTAGCCAATTCTTATAATTTTTAAACAATTTCACTTAGTTAGCCATGGAAACAAGTTCAATCGCCGTTGCTCTCAGAAATGTGAAGCTGTCACATCCAAGCTTTGTAAATTAAAATAAACAAAAATTGTAAATATGAATTTTTCAAGTGAAGAAAAGCACGTAGATACTCGCGCATCAATAGAGTGGTTCCAACATGACTTTCATTACAACCCCCCCCATAATGAAAGAAATGTTAAAAATTAAATTATTTATATCATAATAATGCAAACTCAGGGATAGGAAGAGGTGGACCAATTACATGGGCCTCCTCGATCACCTGACCTATCCATTTTAGATTTTTTTATGCGGTATGGTTAACAATAAGGTTTACAAAAAAACTTATGAATTAAGAGGGGCACTCGTTGTGGCGCTACGAGAGAAGCTTAATTAAGTCGATCGGTCCTTCTGTGTGAAAGGTAGTAATCAAATACGTTTAAATAAAAATTTTCTTTATTTTAAACGTATTTGGTAGTAATTCACTTTTAAAAGATGCAACTCAAAACAATGGCGGCTTTTTTGAACATTTTCTAAAATAACTTAAAATACCTATATGTAGTAATATTATTTTTTTAAGTTTTAGTTTGTGTAATGTAAATTGTATAGAACCGTTTAATAATATATTCTGACTTTTTATAAGTTATAAATCATAAAGAAGAAGAATACCATGCAATCTAAGTGAAATTAGTCTAGAAAGATAAGAATTGGCTATAAATAAATTTAGCTTTTCAAACATGTCTTAAAACCCGTTCTCTAAAAAACGTAACATTCACCGGTCATTGTATCCTCGAAAATGGCCAAGAAAAGTTGAACCAATAATCCTACACGCTTTTCTTTATTTGAAAAATTCGTATTTACAATTTTTGTTTATTTTAATTTACAAAGTTTGGATGTGACAGCTTTACATTTCTGAGAGCAAAGATGATTAAACTTGTTTCTATGGCTAACTAAGTGAAATTGTTTAAAAATTATAAGAATTGGCTATAACGATTTTTCGAAAAAAAACATATTATAGCTTATATCGCTGAAAAGCTTAAAAAATGGCGGTTTTTATGTCATGGCCAGGTATGGTTTCCATTTAAAAAAAACATATGTTTGTGTCATATCTCAAAAATGACAGGCTTTAGAAAAAAACGGAGGACACAATTTCATTAAGGATGTGATTATCTACAACTTTTATCTGAAAGCTTTTTGTCTAAAATAGCTTATAATGGAATTAGGGACAATTTTTAAAATAGCCAAATTTTTTTTTCGAAAAAACTAGTAAGCCATGAACTTTTTCAAAAATCTGAAAGGCGCATATGACCTCACAAAAGTGCAATTCTTTCCCCATTTGACCGACCCTCTATTCTATCTTCAGTAGTTTCCGAGATACCCATAGGGAACGTCGTAGGAAACTCACCCTGTATAAGTAGTAATAAGTACTATATTTCTATAAATCTTCTAATTAGTCTTTAACCTAATTCAAACAGTTAAAGTCAATTCCTTATTCCAATTAACCTAATTCAAATAGTTTTACTAGCTTAGCTTTTCATAGAATATATTTTTAGATTTCTAAGTGTTTTGTTTCAATGGCTGTATTTTCAGAATATAGAAATAATAATATAATAAATATAATAGAAAAACTAATAACAAAGAATCTCCAAAATTGTTTGATTATATTTGAAAATTCTAAATTATTTTATATTTAATTAAAGGTATGATAAAAATACTGTTTATACCGTTCATACTTACTCATTATATGGACAAATTCTTCCATTGCAATCAAATGTGTTCAATTGAGCAATATCTTCTTCAGACAACTGGAAATCCCAGATATCGAAATTCTGTTGGATTCTGGATTTTGTCACTGACTTGGGAATAACAATTAGACCTCTTTGAATACCATACCTAAAAATAGAGTACGGTTTAATAATGTATTAATGGTAAGATTAATATACAAGTCATAATAAATATGGATGTGTAATAATTTCCTAAAATTTGTGTATGTGAACGAATTTAGAAGATGAAAAAAATGGCATAAAACTAATAGACCTGTGAACAACATAAAATGAAAATACTAAATGGTTATTCAAACCACAAAAATGTCCATAAATACACATGGCACCAGGACACCAGACGCCTTAAATCTATATTAGATTATATTATTATAAAACAAGACACCAAATGGAACGCTAAAGATACGATAGTATACAGGGTGCTACATATTCGAGGTACGAGCATTGGTATCTCGGAAACCGTAATAGATACGAAGATGATTAAATTGGGGCAAAGTTGCGCCTTGGGATGCTCACCAAGATGCCATCAAAAAAGTTTTAAAAATTTCAAGGATTGCTGAGTTTTTTCTAAAAAACGGATTTTTTTTGAAAATCAATTTTATTTTGTCCTGTCGTTACTTTTTAGAAAATCAAAAAACTAATTCCACATTTTCATAGCCACTTTATTAGGGCTATCTGATAGTATTTTTCAAGTTAGCTGATAATTTGTGAGATACAGAGGCCAGCTTATATTTTTTTAAATGCGGACCTGCATTTTTCATATCAAGTTTTGAAAGAACTCGGACTCCTGAGTACAATGATATACCACACTTTTTTATACTTTTTTTTGTTTTGGCTACTTGTTTTTGTACTTTAACAGCAACAAAACTATTTAATTATTATTTAAAATAATTTCAAGTCCGACTCTGGTTTTTTAAATTATTTAACCTGCTTATATTCATCGCAACAATATTGATCAGCGCTAATTATTAACATCGAATAATAAAATCAAGACAAGATTCAAATAAATAATATCCAGGTTAGTAATTAAAAGATATTATTTTAACTCTTTTATTGTGAATTTGAAATCTCAGTGTACGATCTAATAATTTGCATAATATTAATCGGCGTTATTATAAATAAATTATCTTCTTCTAACTAGTTTCTAGTGCTCTACATGTTCGAAACTTATTTTTTATTATTTTATTGGATTTGATTTTCCGTATTCAATGTTTTACCCCACGTCATTATTAAGTTTGAAAGCTTATCAATATTGTAACGATGAATAGATTAAATATTTAAAAAACAGAGCCGGACTTGAAATTAGTTTAATTAAATTGTGCTCAAATTTCCGAAACAAAAAAAATATTAAGTGTGGCATATCATTGTACTCAGGAGACCGAGTTCTTTCGTAACCTGTCATAAAAAATGCAGGTCAGTATTTAAAAAAATTAAGTTGGCCTCTGTATCTCACAAATTATCAGCTAATTTGAAAATCTAAAAATACTATTAGATAGATCTAATAAAGTGGCTATGAGAATGTACAATTAGTTTTTTCATTTTCTAAAAAGCAACGACAGAAAAAAATAAAATTAATTTTCAAAAAAATCAGTTTTTTTCAAAAAACTCAGCAATCCTTGAAATTTTTAAAACTTTTTTGATGGCATCTTGGTGAAGATACCAAAGCGCAACTTTGCCCCAATTTAACCATGTTTGTATCTATTACGGTTACTGAGATTCCAATGCTCGTACCTCGAATTTGTAGCACCCTGTATAGAGGGATTGAATGCGGCTCCGACCACTATTTTCTAATCTCGAAAATTTGGATTAAATCCAACATAAGTACATATACAGCGAATGACTCCATCCCAACCAGACTACCATCTCGAGAAGCAAGATAACTACAATCTTGATAGCTTATATGAATCTAGTACCAGAATCCTCTTCCAGAGTCGTCTAGATCAAAAACTAAATGATCAGTATCTTAAAATGCCAACAACTCAACTCTATCAACATATATTGGAATCTTTGCACATGGCTGCATGTGAAGCTCTTAGTTAGATTTAGTTAGAGTTAGATAAACAGAAGACTCATAAAAAACAAGCATATAATAAATGGCTGAGCACAAAGAATAATGATGACCACCTCGCAACTAGACAAAACTATAACAAACTAGAACAATATATATATATAATATATATATATATATATATATATATATATATATATATATATATATATATATATATATATATATATATATATATATATATATATATATATATATATATATATATATATATATATATATATATATATATATATATATATATATATATATATATATATATATATATATAAACACGATCGCTAACAACAAAAACGAGGCATGGGATAGGAAATGTAAAGAAGTTGACTGCGAGGTGGTCTGAAGCCTGGAATCTGATCCGAACGAAAAGAAACATCTCACAACACAAATATACAGCCGATACCTATAGAATAATGGAAAGAACACTACGTAACAGAACTAAAAGAAGACAGAGAAAATTATATTTTATACTCCCAGTATACTACAAGGAGAATACATAACCATCGACGAGGATCACATATAAAAAGACACTAAAATCAATGAAAAATAAAAAAGCGTCAGGACCAGAAGGATTACCAGCAGAATTATTAAAAAACGGATCATATAAATTAATACTGCACCTGAAAGAACTAATGAGAAGATATATAAAACGGTGAGCCAATACCACTAACTTGGAAAGAAGCGTGGATAACCACGATCGATAACACCAATCCACAAAAAGGGAAAAATATATGAATGCTCCAATTATATAGATGCATCTCGGTTACAAGTACTATGAGTAGACTATATGGAAAGATATTGCGAAATATAATTGAAAGGGAGTATGCACCATATGAGGTAGAAGAACAGGCATGGTTCCGTACGGTACGATCGTGTATGGACCATATATTTTCCTCTTTCTCTGGTCCACTCGACACTGTGGTCCATATAAATGAAAAAAAAAGTGGCAACAAATAGAGAGGTACATCTGGTCTTTGTTAACCTCACAAAAGCGTATGACACCGTTCCGATCCAAAAGCCCCCGAAAGTCCTCGAAAAATCCTCTATAAACAATAAAGCGATAGAAGCAGTTAAACAGCTATATAATGAGGCAACATCAAGAATAAAACTTGGTACGGCGCTATCTGTAGGTTTTCCTGTAACTAAAGGACTACGACAGGGTTGCTGCCTATCTCCGATGTTATTTAAAATCTATCTGAATGAAGCCCTAGAAAAATGGAGAAGATCGTGCAGAGGAATGGGGATACCACTTAATGACGAAACAACTTTATACAACCTTCATTTTGCAGATGATCAAGTGGTAGTGGCTCAAGATAAGGAGGACCTACAATTTATGACAACACGAATTTTAAATGAGTATGAAAAGTGGGGGTTGCTTGTAAGTACGTCGAAGACTAAGTACTTATGTATAGCCTAAGCAGCAGAAGTTTTATATCTGGATGGAAATATAGAGATAGGGTCATGCAGTAAATACACCTACCTTGGAACTCAGATAGATTATAACGGGCAAACAGAGAGCGAGATCGAGGAAAGAATACTGCAAAAACCATCGTGGCATAATGTCGGTTTCCAATATTCCATAGGTATTTCATACATGTCCTTATATAAAATAAAGTTTCTCATATGCAACTTTTTTATGTTTCTTTTATGCAACACACAATGTTTTGTTTATAAAATTAAAAGAAAATAATAAATTTGAATAAATAATATATTTGGCGACATAATTCTGGAATAAGCCGAACCGTTCCGAAATTATCAAAAGCTTTGGGTCGCGACCGTTGCAAGAATAGCGCCAAATAGTATTTATATTGTCCTTATGAACACTTTCCAATCTAAACTTGTTTCATTTATCTATGGATTAGCCTTAGCATCAAAAATAATACGTTTTTTTAAATTTAAACGAAGGAGACTGAACTATAAACTTAAACGAAGTCTAGACCTCAAACGGTTGCTAACCGCTTCGTTGAAACAAACATACAAAATTGTATATGTTTGTTTTGGGCATACAAAATTGTATGTTTGTTCGTCCAAAATATCAAGTTCGTGATTAAAATTAAATTATAAAAATTCTCACCTAATTACGACTTGAGCGGTTGTTTTACCATATTTATCGGCGATGGCTTTAATTTTGGGATCGTCCAGCAATTGAGGATCCTCAGGTTTTGCCCATGGTCTATCAGGGGAACCCAGGGGACTGTACGCTGTTACCACGATGTTTTTCGATTTACAGTAATCGATTAATTTTTGTTGGTTCAAATATGGGTGTACTTCAATCTAAGGAAAAATATAAAAATCATTGACAAAACTAACGTGAATGCATATTCAATCGAATACAAGTAGGGAAAGTCCTCAATTTCAGAAAGTTTTGTACCTAATGTAGGTATGTAGTCCTTTAAATTATTCAAAGAGGGAATGTTTTTGCGTTAAAAGTTTGTTTATGGTATTAAACGGAACATAATTCTACATACTTAATTATTAAAGCGAGACTAAGATAGACTTGTATTAAATATAGCTGTTTTTTTTTCAAAACTAATTTATATATTATAAAGATTCTAATTAACAAAATAAATTTTATTCTAGTCTGACTCATGATTATTGATCAATCTTGATCTACTATAGAAATTAGTATAAATTTGTTTATGTTAAAAATGATTTTCTTTAGCGTCTTGTGATACTGTTTTTTACATTTCTTGTTTATAAAAAAAAGAGAGCAGTTTATTTAATTTTAGTATTAGAAGTGTCATATTCTGCAGTTAAATAATATACAAAAAAGTTGGAGAACCTACCTAAAAAATTAAAAGACAATTAAATAAAGATATTATAAACATTTCAAAAATTTAGAATAGAGAGAGATGTAATTCCTTTAAATAGCCGATTACGCACGTTTGTATTTCTATATTGTAACAATTATGCGTTCCAAAGTGCATGTCTGGCCTGGATTTGGATGATTTCGAGCCACCGAACGCTACAAATCTCGCCGAAAAACAATTCGGATTGAACTCGACGCCCGACGCTCAGCGGACCCTAGCGCAACGCCAAACGTGACGCTGCCGCGCTGGCGCTGTCTGCCTGAACGGTCTAATTTAAGGTGAATTGATTCCATTTCGAAGCTGCGCGGACGCGACGCAAACGCGACGCTCTCAGCCTGAATGTAGCTTAAGTATTTGATATTGAAGAAAAACTCGGCACGTGTATACCGGGTGCGTCTCGAAAGTGGCTCACCCCTATAACTTTTTCTTTTTTTTCAGATAAAAAACGGATTTGGTATATTAGTATATCACATAAATTAGGATTGACGTATTCAATTGTTTTTGATGACTTCCTCTTTCACCGGAAATGACTACAACTTTTGATTTTTAAATAGCACCCTCGGTATTTTTTACTTTATTCGATAAAAAAATGACACTCTGAATAGAATGACATATCATATGTCAACTTTTGACATTTTCGCATATGGTTTATTTGAAATTATAACATGCGATTCATAACGACAATTTGACTTAAGTACCAAATGTGTGGTATTAAATTATTCGTAAAAAAATGATTTTTCCAAATATGTTAATGAGACACCCTCGTGATATGATTAAGAATGAGATATGATTAAAAATACGATTTAAGCATCTTTTATAACAGACTAGGACAAGACACTAAAAATATTAGACGATCAGATTTATTTTTCCAAGGCTTCTTGATTAAAAATTAGTGTTTTTAACACTCTAAATTGAAATCACAAAAAAATACAATGTGCTTTTGAGCGAATATGTCAAAAGTTGACATATGATATTGTCATTCGATTCAGAGTGTCATTTTCTAATGAATAAAGTAAAAAAATACCGAGGGTGCTATTTAAAAATCAAAAGTTGTAGTCATTTTCGGTGAAACAGGAAGTGAACGAAAACAATTGAATACGTCAATCAATTCTAATTTATGTCATGTACTAAGATACCAAATCTCGATTTTTATCGGACAAAATAACAAAGTTATAAGGGTGAGCCACTTTTGAGACGCACCCGGTAGAGGTACCTGAATTGACTGACCTCAGAATGGATCGGAGGTACCTCAGACGGACAGATTGTCAGCCGGACAGACAGAGAGAGGAAGTAAGAAGAAGTTTCACTTCAAATATGCGCACATGGTGCACACACAATTTTTTTAAAAACGTTTTATAATATGATTTACCTGATTAGTCACTGGGGCAATAGTAGCGCTAGCCAATAACCTTTCGAGTTGCTTCTTGTTGAAATTTGAAACTCCAATAGATTTGGTGAGTCCTTTTTTAACTAACTCCTCCATTGCTTTCCATGTGTCTAAATAGTCAACATCGCTAAAAGCAGTTTTTCCACTCTCATCTACGGGAAATAGATCTCCTTCTTCCTAAAATATTCAAATACCTTAATTTTAATAAAACGAGTAAGAATAGGACGAATAGAGGAATGCAACATTTAACAGTTATTATTGCAAATAAATAATCCATTTGCTTCGAAAATGTTAGTCTTGTATGTATTTTTTAAGTCAGACTATAGTCTGGTATGGTCTCAGTTTTGGAAATTTTATTGCATATCCGTTGAGTAGTTGGCTTTGTTCATGTTTCTAAATACAGAGACTTTAATAATACAAACAAAACCTCTAATGTTTTAATAAAAAAAAGTTTTTCAATAATGACGGCAAATGTAGCCTTACGCCCTGGGAAGGGTTTTATTTGTTTTTGATTCAAACAATCGATTTATCTTATTTTATTATGCAGAAGACTGTTGTCAACCTAATAATTGGATTTAAACTAAGAAACAATGTAATTTTAACTTGAGTTTAACAAGATTTATTAAATAAATTAAATAATTCAGGTACCTTAAGCGCGAAAGGCCAGTGAATCAAATATAAGTCTAAATAATCGAGACCTAGATGTTTCAATGTAGTTCTTATAGCTGGTTCTACTATATCTGGTCTGTGCATTGTGTTCCATAATTTACTGAAATAAAAAAATGTAATATCTATAATTATAGTTTAATACGACAAACTTTTTTAGAATTGAATTGAAAAATTATATAATGATATACCGCATGATCGAAAAAAAAACGGCTTCCAGTTAGCTTGGAAATGACGATCGTTGACATTCCCCATTTAATTTTACATATGAAATGACAGCGATCTTCATTTCGTAGCAATTGCTGATACCGCTTTTTTTCGATCATACGGTATTCTCTGAACGGTTAATGTTAGATATAGAGTATTTGGTATCAAAATTTGTAAAATTTGACATAGAATTTAAGTACCTATATAATAAAATATGGGGGTGTCCATTTAAAATAAGAAAGTTACTATCAAACAAAATAATTGTTTAATTTTTATCTCTCCAAATAAAACTTATGCTTAAAAAAAAATTGTGTTAAAGCTTGATAATATAGATAAATTTTATGTAAGGTAAATGAAACAAACATCACCTTGCATTATTGTTTTTCTTTTACTATTTTTACAGTGGATTTAATATTTTTACAGTATACTACTTGAATCCCCAGCGGGAAATTTAAATTCCGGTTAGTCGGCCTGGCGCCGAATATGTCCATGGTTGGCAACAATTAATTTAAAAATGGCGCTCTAGATTACGTAACTAAAAGTGTACTTGGTATCGCTTCTGTATCAAGTACTGAATATATAGGCAGGGCACTGGAACATTGATTAGGGGGGACAACAATTAATGATCACAAAATCACCAACCTCAGATTCTTAGACGATACGGTACTTCTAGCGGGAAACGAAGAATTAGTGCAGCTTCTATTGGTTGGAGACTTGGACTTGAAATTAATCGCTCCAAAACAAAAATTATGATTATCGACAGGCAAAACAACAACAAACCTGATGTAGTGAGCATTGGTCCTTTTTAGGTTGTCAGTCAGCATATATATCTTGGGTCACTTATAAACAACACAGGATCAATAGAAGGGGAAATAAAAAGAAGATGTGAAATGACAAGGGTAGCGGTGCGAAAACTCTCAAAGATATTGCGGGACAAACACATACCAAAACACTTAAAAAGAGGCTTCTTCTTATCACGCCCTCTACTGCTGAAGGTTGGCGATCCAAATGGCAATTGTGGCTCTGGAAACTGCAGCCCGGAAGATTTCCGCAGACGAGCGTTTAAACCATCTCCTTAAATGTTTTAGCTGTGAGTTCTGGCGTCTTCCTACTGATCTTTTCCTTTGCACTTTGCCCTCTATTATCAGGTGCAGTATTTCGTATCTATCACCTCTCATCACATGACCCAGGTATTGCATTTTTCTTTCCTTGATGGTGTTCAGTATGTCTCTTTTAAGTACTTCATCGTTGGTGATCCTTTGTACCCATGAGATTCGCAGCATCCGTCTGTACACATACATTTCGAAGGCTTCTATTCTCTTTTCGGTCTGTGAATTTAGTGTCCAGCTCTCACATCCGTAGAGTAACACAGAGAAGTCGTAGAATCTGGCTATTCGAATTCTGTGTTCCGCACTGAGTTCTCGTCTTGTAAAAAATGATTTCATACTCACGAAGATTTTTCTCGCTTGCTCAATTCTTAAAAATATTTGTCCCTTGACACGCAGGTGTGCCTTTATTGGAGTCTTACAAAAGACCAACAGTTTGGTCTTGGAGACATTGAGATGAAGTCCAAACATCTTACTATAATAGAAGGGGAAATAATATAGGGAAGGGGAAATAAGGATATAGTGGACTACGGAATCTATGATGCTTTGCAGTTCTTGTATATAGTTGGGTTAAAAAAAGAGGCTTGCTCACTGCCTAATGTTTCCTATATTAATGTACGGCTCCGAGTCTTGTACGATGGGACAGTCAGAAATGAAAAAAAAATTGACGTAACTGAGATATACCGTTGGCGACGAATGCTCAGAATTTCCTGGACTGCCCGGCTAACCAATGAATCAATAACCCAAGAATTTAACATCACAGAACTCAACTTTTATAGGATCACGTATACTTAAATATTTCGGTCACGTAAAGAGCAGAGATACTGACTGTATGGAAAGCCTCATTATAGAGGGCAAGGTTTCAGGAAAAAGACCAAGAGGCCCCTCCGATGGATAGACCAGCTATCACACGCTGGTACATCGAGCACAAGACAAGAAATTATGGAGACAAACTACGCACATCACTTGACCACTACATTCTTCTTGTAGGAATAAAGACAGAAAGTGAAAGAAATATATTAAGTACTAATATTAACAAATAATAACTCAGACTGCTGGAAGATACACACAAAACGTACCAGAAACTGAGCATATTTTGTTTATTGCTAATTTATTATAATTTTACTTAAAAATGTTTCGTATATAAAGTCCTTTCTTGATGAAAGATATTGAATTCTTCATATACCTGGTAATGTAAATTTCTTCCCTCTTCACGGTCCCATCTCCTATTTTAGCCTTTAAAGCTTCTCCAACTTCCAGTTCGTTACCATAAACGTGAGCACAATCGATGTGACGATAGCCTATGTCTATGGCGTCTTTGACAGCTTGTGTTACTTCACCAGGTTTAGACTGTAAAATAAGTCGTCAATATTAAATAAGTTATAGGATCATCATTACTAGAGAGTACAACAGGTGTAGCAATAAAATAATTGCATGCAGCCTCACACCCATTTTTATATGAGCTAAACTGTAACAAAATAATATGTGATTGTTATACTATTTTTATTAAAGTTTTGATCTGCCTGTATATTAATTTAAAAAAATCAATGGAAAAATCAATATGTCTCTGCTAGAAATATTTCCACGTGAATCAAGGTTTGATGTAAATCTACACATGGATCAGTATATAAAAACTAGATATAAATGACCTATAAAGAATAAATAATTCATTGTCTGAATAAACCTCATACCAGGGAAAAGGGAAATAGAATTGAAAAATAGTGCCAGATATTTTTGATGCACAACAATTTTATGCCCTGACAACACAATAATTGATGAATTACAACATAATAATTGATGAATTTTTAGCAACAACGATTTTATTTCGAGTTTATTGTTTTGGGAAAAGCTAATAATCTATCTATACATTTTGTATTTTCATAATTTAATATCTTTTGAAGCAAATTATATCCATATTTAATATTTATCACTCTTAAATAAAGGATAGTGTATATAGAAGATAATTTGTAAGTAGATAATACAATACAAGATCAAAATAAAGAAATACATTTTTGTTCAAAAATTATTTAGTTTAACCATCTTAACTGAGCTATCAGAACACAATAAAACAATAAAATTAGGGGCTTTAAAGTTAAAGTTAGGAGAATTAAGAATTATAGGGAAATTGTACTTGGTATATTGATGTATGGTAAAAAAAAGAGCTGATGCTAGTACTAGTATACTTTGTACATTAATTTCAAATTAAAGTTTATATTAAAAATTTCAAAGCAAACACATAATACTCGTGGCATGTCATTTAATATGTCAATATACCGTATGATCGAAAAAAAACGGAGTCCAGTTGGCTTGGAAATGAACATCAATGACATTCCCCATTTAATTTTACATACAAAATGACAGCGATCTTCATTTCATAGCCATCGCTGACGCCGTTTTTATTCGATCATACTGTACGTTTTGACCAAATAATTGGTAGGTTGGCGAACAAAGACGTTTCTAGAGATGTATGGTTAGCAATTATGGAAATTTCCTGATGGTTTACATCATTCATTTTGTGTGGCGCTTATCGTCAATTTACACATGTATAGTTGTGGTTGTTCAATATAGTGCCTAGTACAATTGCTATTTTTTAATAGTTAATCCTCGAATAAATAAAAAAACGAATATTTTTACAATACATTGGTAATGCCATCAATAAGGATACATATCTTAATATATGACTGAGTATATGAGTAATTATATAAAGGGAAATTAAAACAACTTTCGTTGCACGTCATCAGTGACCCCATGCGTCGTTTTATGGAGTTTGCTGGTGGTCGTATTATGATGTTCAACCAAAGTTATTTTAATTTTCTTATAGTTATGGTTACAGTATTATTTATTAGACAGCGACACTTATAGTATTTCATAATTCCAAAATCAAAATAAAAATCTTTTATATCTAATTTCATATACCTATATCTTTAGTGATGTATTTTTATAAATTTTTAAAATACATATATTAACATCGAACTACATATATCAGAACTGTATAAGCGCAAAGTAGTATCATGAAATATTGGTAATCTTTTTCATTTATTTTGTGCTTTAATTTAACTTTTAATGTAAGGCATTGTGCATTGTGAAAATAATATTCTTTTGTATATTATAATGTAAGTGGAGTGATAAGTAGAGGGTTTTGGAAAAATTCCATATTTTCGCCAACTAGATTACATAGCTTGATGTGACAATAATAAAACATTTTTTGAAAATCATATTTCGGAAAAATATTATTTTTTCTTAAAAAGAGACAAAAATGTAGATAGTAAAAACCAGAAGACCATTTTACGAAAAAAAATTGGCGCCGGGACGCACGTATAGCCGCCCATACTAAAATATCTTAAAAGTTGAAAAAAAAAAGTTGGTAGGCAGTTCTTTTAGTTTCAAAGTAAAGGAATTTTTCCAATTTTTTTATATCTCAAAAACTGCGACTTTGACTGATTTTGTTGTCATTACAAATTTTGTTGCAAATATTATTCCTAATCTTAAATTGAAAACCGCGTTTCGCTAGCTACTGTAATTTTGGAGTTACGATTTTTTAAAATTTTTAACCCCCTCCCATACCCCCTTACCAACCCCCACCCTCACCAAAAACTAATGGCCAGATTCTCAGGTGCCACAGTATTTTTGTGCCAAATTTGGTTAAAATCGGTTTAGCGGTTTTTGAGTTATCGTGTGTTTCAGACGGACAGACGGACAGACAGGCAGACAGACAGACACTAAATAACTCATTTTGAGTGAAATTAAAAAACTTTTTTTTGTCGATCTTAACAGCCTATCATACCTGTTGGTATGATCGGCTAAAAATCCGTCAATCGGTCGTTGGTAGAGTTGGAAAATATTTACACTAAAATTGACGTAGGGGTGGGGGTCGTTTTAGCCCTTCCCGTACGTTGTCTTGATTTTTGTGAAAGTGAAATGTTAAATATTTAGCAAAACATAAGCACCCCAAATCTCATTCAAATATCTTAAAAAATATGTTTATTTTTTTTTAAATAACCCGGCTTCTAACTAAAAAAGTAAATTGTGTCCAATGAACTTATTTTGATTCCAAAAAACGTAGTAGTAGTAGTATGTCCACGGAATATTTAGACACCCTATATATCTAAATTAAAATTTCAGCGTATAAAAGGCACGGCGTGAATGATTGCAAACATCATTATTTAATTGTGGGTAATGTTTAATAAGAATTTTGGTTTAACAGAATGTTTTGAATAATAGTTTGCAAATCTCACAACGCGCAGGTGACGATCAGTATACCTATTCTAATCTTAAGACCATTGTTAATGGTGATACCAACATAAGTATGATTAATCCCAATGGAATGATCAAACCCAGACACAATAAAATAAAAATCGGCGATACAATTTATGACATAATTAGAATAGTCAAACCTAACCGGTTGCTAACCTCGATATTTTCGGTGTAGCATTTTAACATTTGAAATCATAGAAAAAAAATAAGAAATTAAATTAATTTCCTTTTATTTTCATCTTGTTACATTTATTTTCATCTATATTAAAATCAAAAATTCCTTGTTTTATCAGTTGCAAATTAACCCAATATAAAAAAATCAATAGTAAACTAAACTAAATAAAACCAAGCCGAGGCACACCAAACCAAGACAAACCAATTTAAATTAAGTTAAATTAGGTCCAGTTATGCTAGGCTTCTCTATTATTTTTCGTGACCGTGACAGCTGCAATACATTGAATCAGATTTAATAATGAACTCGCATCGTTAAATACAAGAAATTTAAAAAAAATAATACTTATATTGACTAAACCAAACTTTTCAGAATTACTTTTAATCTTTATTTAGCTATTTTATTTAAAAAATTACATTATTTAGGGTTATTTTCTAGTGCAAGAATATTTATATGCACCTATTTTCTGCTAACGCGTATTCGTTATAGCATTTTATACTATCCTCATACTACTATAAGAAAACAGGGTCGGTCAGAAAGTTGTGGCACATCAAAAATATATTTTTTACATGCAGCCCCCTGTATATTATTGCATATTTCAATTCTTCCTTCAATTTTAAGCAATAATCGTAATACACATATTATAGTATACCTAAATTCAACCATTTTCGAAGTTTTGATTTTGATGATTTTTTTGTTATTTGATTTGTTTGTTTGATTTGACTTGATTTAATCTCATTTTAACATTGAAAATGTTTCTGTTATCCTATATAAGGGAGCCCAAATCGAATTAAAATGCTACATTTGCCACACCATGACGTCATATATACAAGGGTATAGGAAATCTCGGCGCAGCGGCGGCAGTCGGCCAGCGCGCGCAAAAACCATTACATCGCTAATTGTTTATTGATATATCTTTATTAGTTTAAAAGCAAAAATATGGGGTTTGCTTTGATACCTTGTCAAGACATGAGCGAAACTTTTAAATTGTTTCTTTTTTTCATTTAGGCCTTCGTTTTTCGTTAAATGAAAGTTATATTAAAAAAAAATCTCTATTTTTAAACCAAATTTTCGCATGATTGAAATGATTATTCATGTTTAAAGTTTTTTTTTGGTCATAAGCGCTAATGGAAATGTTTTTTTGTAAATAATTATAAAAAATTACTCCCTACGAAGACTTTATTCTGTACTGGATCAAAAAATAAGTATTTGTTTTCTCTATACGGTGGTATTAATATATCGATTTTTGATGATAGTGCCTTTTTACCCTGTTTAATTTTGTACTACTTTCGGAATAAGGGTCCCCATATCATGTACTGTGATGTACTGTACTTCCATCCCTGAAAAATTCAGCTTGTGACACCGAAGTGAGAGGTAACGTCAAAATAAGCTTTAATCTACCTACATCATCATAGGTAGGTGTAGGTACTCTAGGTAAATTCTACCTAGACAGTAGCTGAACTAGCTGACAGTAGTAATTAATTTGTTATCCGATAAGTAGTTGTCATTATATAAGTTTAATCGTCTTATACCTCCTATAACGGTAGGTTTTGGATTTTTCCTGATTGGTTTGTTAAACAAAAATATACTGGGCATATAAATGTCTGTTACAGGTTAATTCGTTAAAGAAATATGTTACACACATATTATTTTAATAATAATAGTATAATAGTAATGGCTATATTATGTTATAACACATTATTGAATTAACAATTGAAAACAGTATTGAATGTACTTATTTTAACCAATGCATTGTTTTGTTTTTTTAATCTCACAAATAAGAAATATTTTATAGTTTTTATTATAAAAAACAGTGATTATACAATTTATTTACACCCCTTACACTGTTTTCTGTAAGGGGTGTAACCAGGAGTATATTTCGTAACCTTTTACGATATAAGAGGGCACAAAGTGTTTTATTACTTAATGCTTAAAATTTAATAATATATTTGTACATAAAATAAAATAGACTAGAAAGTCAATTAATTAATATTGACGTAATTACTAAATAAGTACAAGATTTTTTTTCTAATTATTTTAGTGTATTTTTAGTCACCGAATTATAAAGGAGAGATATCCAACCATTGCATTATTTTACTCACAAATAAATGTTTTATGGTTTTTATTATAAAACAACGATTAATTTATTATACACCCCTTAACCCAAACACTCCAAGGAGGATATTTCGTGACCCCGTATTTAAAGTGGACAAGGTTTATTAGTCAATGTTTTAATTACCCAGCGTCTTTAATAAAAATCTAATGTAATTTTTCATAGAAATGATCTGACATGAAAAGCAAATTTTATCAAAAAACTTTTTGATTATCTACAAGGAGTAAACCGCTGACAAATGTCTGTATACTAATGCCAAAGTAATGCCAAAAATACAAATTAAATACCAAAATTTCTCATATAATGCCCCACTAATGCCAAGCTGATTCCAATATAATACCACTAATACCACGAATAATATGTAACACATTTGTTTCACGAATTAACCTGTAACAATACTGGTAGGTACGTGCACAGATTTTTTCCTAGGTAACTTAAAAGTCGTTAAAAAGTCTAATTATATTTAAAGAAGATATAATTCCAACAAATTACATTATAAGGCCAATAATGCACAAGTAATACCATTAAAATTTTAGCGTTTTTAACTTGTGTAACATATTTCTTTAACGAATTAACCTGTAACAATAGTGGTAGGTACGCGCACAGATTTTTTCGCTAGGTAACTTATTAAGTCGTTAAACAGGCCTATAAAAGCTATAACAACATAGGTAACTAATATTTATAATTTAATTCGAGTTTTAATCTCAAATAATAAATGTTTTTACTGGTGTATTTCTGAAGTGTTCATTATTAAAAGTAGATATTCTTCAAGTTATGCGAAGTAATAAGTAATGTTTCCGGTGAGACCGCGTATATGTCACCGGATTCTGGTTAGTATAAAGACTTTTTCTATAGAAAGAGTTTTTTCTATATTTTCCTTTCAAAATAAGACTAATTTCTTCTTATTCTTTTAAATATTACAGTGTTTCTTTTTCCTAAAATGTTATACTTAATTTTCGCTTAAAATTAAAAAATCACAAATGGAGGAAAATATACGTTATTGAATAAAGTTTATACAAATCACTTTACCATAACAAAAAAGTAAAAACATGTCATGGCGGAAGATATTCAGGTGGCATTTCACACATTTATCTATTAAAATCGAGATTAAAATAATAAACTTGCGTAACATGTTATACACGAGATAGAAAGTTTCAGAATCGATTAATACGCAATACGCTACGCAGTCAACTTATTCCTATGCGCGGATGAGCGTCTTCAAGACTCTTCCTTCGGCCAGGGTCACGACGCCGCCGAAGAGGAATCGGCCTACGTTTGGCTAAACAGGCTGGACACGGTGGAGTACGATATTGGCGAGTCTGAATATTATAAAAATTTGCAAAGTAAAATATGTTGGAAAAATAATTAGTCCATACATATATAAAAGCTCAAAGGGTTTTTTTGTTGCATCCATCCCGCCGAAAGCGCTTTACCAATCTTGATGATTCTTTTTTTAAATGAAAGGTATATATGTGTAGATTTGTTATGAAGTATTTTTATAGTGCTTAATGGCTATTTCTTTGTGTAAAACGACTAAATACTAAAACATACCTGAAAACACCTACACACAATACCTCCAGAAATAAATTAGTTGTCATTGTCAGTGGTGTGTCAGTTAGATTATATATTACGTTTTTAGATATTTTAGAGTGAGTTGATGCCGCCAGCTTTAGATACATAAATATTAGCACAAAGGTTCGTTTAAACGACATTAGTGAATTAGCTACACAAAGCGATTTTAGGAAATTCATCCTCTTAGAGAGTAAAATTATCTCGGAACAGTTTGTTGTATGAAAATTCCTTACTATTTCGTCTAGAAGAATGAAATCCTACAAAAAGAATTAGAAGAAATTTTTGAAATTCATCAACCAAATGGGTAAAGTTAGTAAAAATTTATATAAAACTTGGTGACGTCTGGATTATACACATAAAAATTGGCACAAAGGTAAAGCGAATTTATGAAATTTATACCCTTAGGGAGTAAAATAGGGAATGAAAGTTTGCTGTACGAAAATGCAATACTATAACATTATAAACCAGACAGTATAAAATTTTATACAAGGGTTTATTTAGTGACATCATAAGGAAATATATCTTCCTCAATTATCCTTCAAAGAATAAAAAATAACCTATAAAGAGAGTATTAGTGCTCTTAATAAATAAAAAAAAGATGAAAAATAAAAAACATCTATATGTTCACTAGCTCTCTATAAAGAAGTAAAAAATCATTTAAATCAATGCATAAACGATTCGAGGTGTAACGCGAACGTAGTTGCGAGAAAAAGCTAGTAATTTATTAAATTATTTTATTTAACTCATTAATTTTCATTGAAAAGGAATTTTTGTAATTCGCCACTATATTAGTTAAAAACTAAGAAACTCATATCAAATTTAAGTTTTGCGATTTTGACTTATACTTTTTATAAAATCTGAACACATTTTAAAAGAAAAAAAGTTTTTGATAATATTTGTGTAGATTGACTACAAGTTGTATAACATAAATTTCTACGACCGGTCTACCTAGTAGTCTGCAGCATCGCCTTGTGGTGCAAACGTGGGCCTGTTAATCTGTGACGTGACGCACAACAGCCAAGAAAAACAGAAGCGTGGCTAAGAATTTAGTAATTTAAAAAAAGTCTTTTAGATACAGTAGTAGGTATTAAAAAGTTTTGTGTTTAAATGGGGTTTGCCTTTAAGAGGTAAAAAGTTATATCGTAAAGTGCAACTTTCCGTAAGAATTCTTTATCTGTCATTGATCATGATCTGTCATCATGTTAACCTGATGTTTTGTATGTTATTTTGTTTTTTTCGAGGTTTTTTTGCTTGCTTGTTTTACGGATAGGTGAGATCGCATAATTATTATTGATAATGTTATATTTAATGTTAACATTACTACTTTTTCAGTGAATCTTTAAATCTGTTGTTTTTTGTTAAGTTCGTTATTTAAACATATGTATGTATATATATACACTCATATTAACACTAATCATATTTTTACGTTTTTATTCATCATTTTCAATGCCCCCCGGTTGCATCTTTGTAAAGGACTGTGAATTTTTACATCTATAAAAACTAACTTGACAACTAATGTCAAATATTATTAAGTATCACAGTTTCTGCAGAATGACATCGTTAAATGAAACCAAACGCATCGAAATTTTATGGCTGATAGGGTGATATTTAATGCTGAGAGAGTGATATTTTCAAAAGTCAATAACTCTGAAACGGTTGGTTTGAGGTACATTGTTTGTATCTCGATTGTTGCTTAGAATTGAAATATACCGGGTGCGTCTCAAAAGTGGCTCACCCCTATAACTTTTTTATTTTTTTCAGATAAAAGCGATATTTAATATGTTAGCTTGACCGATTTATTATTTAGTATTTCGAGTCAAATTGTCGTTAAGAACCGTTGCAATTTCAAATAAACCATATGAAAAAATGCCAAAAGTTGACATATGATATGTCATTTTATTCGGAGTGTCATTTTCTATCGAATAAAGTAAAAAAATACCGAGGATACCATTTAAAAATAAAATCAAAAGTTGTAGTCATTTCCGGTAAAACCGGAAGTGACCGAAAACAATTGAATATGACAATCAATCCTAATTTATGTCATGTACTAACATACCAAATATTGTTGTTTTATCTGAAAAAAATAAAAAAGTTATAGGGGTGAGCCACTTTTGAGACGCACCCGGTATAATAATATATAGAGGGTTCCATTTAAAAAAAATGAAACGTTAGAATGCCACGACTTTATGATCGACCCTGTACGCGTAAATTTATTACTCGTCAATATACATAGGTACCTATATTAAAAACCTTATAACTTTTGTATTTAACTTTTTGCGGTACCTTGTATATTTTGTCTAATAATCCACCGTTCCGCACGACCCTGTAAAAATAAGTTAAAGACACAAATATTTCTATGTTAATATACATGTTAATATACAAGCCGTCTTCGTATAAAAAATGCACGATTTTTTTCATAAATTTCATTTTAGAGCTAAAAAAACTACGAGGTAACTCATCCTAAGTTCTAAAAAATAAACAAAATTTTGACGAACTATCCTGTTGCCAAAACTATAATTATCACACATCAAGTACACACACAATCTAAAATAGATTTAAAATAAAATAAAATTTTGTAATTAAAAATAATTTTTAAAACAGAGAAAAATCATACAACTGTGTTTTATCCTTATATTATTTAATGAAAACATGATTGTATATTTAGATCAGTTGGTAAAAGGAAGAAAATATAAGAAATCTAATCTAAAACTTACTTTCCATGTTCCTAAGCCAAATACAGGAAATTCCTGCCCATTGTTAAATTTAATTTTTGGTACTTTGCTAGCCATATTTATAACACGACTTATACTGCCCATTCACTCCGTATCAATGAAATAGGAAATAACGTACGCCTGTGCCGTGTCTAAATATGTAGAGTAACGATCCTGGGAGCCGAAATAGACAGGGCTGGACTAACAGGATTCTGAGGAAATATTATGCTGCAGGAAGTATCTCGTTGATACATAACAACTATTATTATAATATACAGGGTGTTTCAAAAAACATGGAGATTAAGATTGTAAAATTAAGATTTATTTTTCATATCAACATGGGCCCGATTCTGCTTTCTTTCGTAGCTACAGGGTGTTAAAGTCTTAATCATTTTTCGGTTTATTATGTTTCTTCCAAGAAAATTTAGCGTTTCGAATGAAATTTTGAGGGTAAAAGTTACTATAAATGCTACATATTTTAAAGCTAAAAAAATGTCGACATATTCACCGGGGTCGTGCATATGGGTTATCACTGGAATATTTTTCTAAAAGGGGCATGTACGCCACTGACTTTTTTTTTCTCTTGTCAGCGAAACAGTTTAAATAATTTAATGCCGATTAAAAGTTGTATCTTGATATTTTCTCGATTTCGGCCTCCTTGATGAGATAAACGGAATTTTATTAATTTGCCTTGATCCAAGTCTAATTGCAACCTTTAAAAAATCTAATATCATTAACTTGCGGAAGTTTTAAACAAGTACTCATCGATCCCTTATCAAAAAATATAAAAAAAGTTCCTATAGACATGGGTATGGAAATGCATTGTTTTAGAGTTACAGGATGTTAAAACTTTTTAAAATTAGGTTTTTTGTAATTATCTTAAATACCATTATTTTTTTAACTAATAGTATGTTATAAATTAATGTATGCTATAATTAATAATAGTTTATAATTAAAAAGTATAGTAAATAAAGTCAGTTTATAATCATCTGCTGATGATGCTAACATGGTTAGCGAAACGCGCGTCCAGTGTAAAAGTAAAAGTGTTTTGGTGTATTGTGGTGATTTAGTGTTTTTATTTTGCTGTGTAACACCAAAGGTTCCAACCCTCAACTGTAATAATAACTTGTTATATTATAACGCATGATTATATACAGAGTAATATCTGTTTCTAGATTTCATGCAAATAAAGGGAGATTTGATAGTTTGGAAGTGTAATAACTTGTTTTATTATAACGTATGATTATATACAGAGTAATATCTGTTTCTAGATTTCATGCAAAAAAAGGGAGATTTGATAGTTTGGAAGTATAATAACTTCTTTTATTATAACGCATGATTATATACAGAGTAATATCTGTTTCAAGATTTCATGCAAATAAAGGAAGATTTGATAGTTTCCAATAAAAACTTCCAGTTAAAACTTCCAATATTTTAACGCATGACTATAATTATTTAACAGAATTATATCTGTTTCTAGATTTCATGCAAATAAAAGGAAATTTTATAGTTTTTAAGGAAATAATACACGTATTATATTTTAACGCATGATTGTATACAGAGTAATATGTGTTTCTAGATTTCATACAAATAAAAGGAAATTTGATTAGAAGAGTTTAACCTTATATACCTAATATATTTTTTTTAATAAATAAGTAAAACTATATCAAAGAGTTTGACATAAAATCAGTTTAAAATTGATAAGTAAGAATATTTTCTTATTATTTCTTATACATTATTTATAACTTATTTAAAAAAGTTAATATATGTAAAACCTTACACAAAAATATTAGTTAATTTGGCAGAGTAATATCTGTCTCTAAATTTGCAATATATGTAAAATCTTACTCAAAAATATTAGTTAATTTGACAGAGTAATATCTGCCTCTAATATACATATAAAAAAAATGATAATATTTAAATAATTATGAAAGGCAATAACTACTAAGAGCAATTGCTACTCTGGTAACATACATGATAAAGTTATTTGGACAGACAAATATCCGTTCCTAGATAAACTAAGTAAAGCTGATTTAAAAGATAATTCATTGATTTAAAAAAAAAATAATTCATTGATTAATATCAATAACAATTAGAGGTTTTCACCAGTTTGTAAGGGTAATAACCTAGACAGAGAAATATCTGTTTCTAGGTTTCATGCAAATAAAAAGAGATTTGATTTGATTAGAAGAGTTTAATCTTCGATAACTTAATCGATCAGAACAAGTCACAATTTAAATTATCAGCGCTCCAACTTCAAGAGAAGGCTCAAACCAAAATGAAAGAGGGGAGGGGACCGCTATCAACAGAAACCGACGACACTGGAGATAAAATTAATTATTAATTATAATGCTATGTAGGCAAAATTAGTTTTTTTTTCACATTTGAGAAAAAATCAGCAAAAATAAAGTAATTTTAAGCTGAGTGAAAGGATATAAAACTCCTTTCATAAAGCGACCAGTCCAGAGGAATAATTTTTTTTAAATATACTTAAAAGTAATTTATTAAGTATATATATTTAAAAGTAATTAACAGAAATACTGGAGAACATAAATAACTTGCTTAAAATAGGTGTTATTCAAAAACGAAACATTGTAAAATGAATAAACATTGAGAGTCCCCACTCTAAATTGGATTTCAGAACCGTTACGCAAATTATGCAGGAAAATGACAACCATAGATTTAAAACATGCATATTTTCTTATTCCTATTATTAAAAAAAAGGAAATATTTAAAGTTTAATAATAACGATCAACTTTAGGAGTGCACATGTCTGCCCTTTAGTTTAACAGCAGCAATAATTTGATAATGTCATTACCCAAAGAAAAGGTCGAAAACTGAATTTCACTTAAAAAAAATCTTAAGCAAAAACAAATACCCAAATTAGGGAATTTGCAAAAATAGGGGGCGTCCTCGTCTCCGTTTGCCCAGCTATTCAGTATGATTGGGCTCATATAATATGTTTTGAAAAAAAAAAGTATAAAGCTTTAAATAAATTTTACGGACGACGAAACAATAGAAATACCAAAAAGTTACAGCAAGTTTTCGCTTGGTGGTTAGCAAATATCTGATTGCAAAACGAGCTTCAGAAAGGAAATACGAGTATATTCGCTAACCACGGACGCTAGTATTTCTGAATTGGGCTACGTGTGAGGGTAACCTAGCAAGAGAGTTTTGGAATAATGTGGAACGCACCTCTCATATAAACCATTTAGAACCAATAAGGCTTTTAACGGGTTAAAAACCTTTTCAAAAATGCACAGAGAATGCCATATATTTATATTACTGAGAATGGATAATACCGCTACAATCTGTTATGTAAATCGAATGGGAGGAATAAAATTTCCAGAATTAAATACAGTAACCAAAGAAATTTGTGAATCAACAATAAAATTTTTAAAACATATTTTTATGCGTTTAAACCGTTTTCCCTTCTTACTAAAGAGGCTTTAAAGAAGCTAATAGCTGGAAAAGCTAAAGAAATTGTCATATTTTCTTAATGGTAATCTCAAGTCTGATTCCTCATATTAAGGCATCAGTAACTAGATTTATGAAGGAGGTTTTCAGACAAAGACTTATTTTCCCTTTGGTACAATGAGACATGGAACGAAAATCCTTTTCTTATTTAGAAACATTAGAACCTTAAGATTCGCTTGCCTTTCAAAAACTAACCTACAAATTTATAGTTTTACTAGCTTTTAAAACAAGTCAGAGAATACAAACACGAAAATTATGTAACAATATAAAACAGTTAGTAGTAATATAAAACAGTTTGAGGACAGACTAGAGAAAAATTTAACAGATATTATAAAACCGTCTGTACGAGGAAATGTTAACCAAAAATTGTACTCCCATATTTTAGAGAAAACCCATGTCTTTGCATAGCATCTATTTTAAAATCAAATAGTACGAGACACTCATCAACATCAGCAGTCTTTCAACGAGGACTAAATATCGAAAACATTCGAGGTGCATCTGGATAGAGCTATAAATCCAATACATTTAATTTATTTTATAATAGGCCTCTACATGAAGGCACTAAGTTATAAGCACAATATTTCGTTAATAATGGGAAAATAAAGACTTAAGACTAAAGAAAACTTAAACTAATCAAAATTTTATATACAAACTTATCATTGACTTTAGATTTAAATTTGTTGGTAATAGGCTTCACATTTTAAAATAATGTGAATAAATATTTTGTTCAAGTAAAACTAAACAACAAATATAACTACTCTCGTAGTGAACATGAAAGTACAGACCCAGATCGAGAACATATGCTTTCAACATCTACATTGTGATCTCGAGGACGGGGCTATCGAAGTATAATTAGAGGTTAAACGACTTACCTGTAAGGAAGTTCAATCCTCAACTATACGAGATAGCCCCGTCCGAAGAGATCACACCCACCCTCCCCGCGCACCACTACAGAGGTGCAGCCCAAGAAATTCTCGATCCGGGGAAATAGAAAAACATAATGAAAAATGAAAAGGTTGTGTTACACTGGCGACGACCAAGGGACATAAATCTTTTTAATTTTGTAAACATTACGCCGAAAAAGCTGAGTAGCATAAACTACATTGTGATCTCTTCGGACGGGGCTATCTCGTATAATTGAGGATTGAACTTCCTTACAGGTAAGTCGTTTAACCTCTAAATATAAAAGCATAAAATTATTTCCCAAGTAATAAATTATGGTCGTCTAGAAAAATAAATCTTATTTTAACTTGAGGAATCTCCCCACGAGAGATGGAATATGTTTTTTGAAACACCCTGTATATTGAAAATCAACCTTAATATGTTTTATATTAAGAAAATTATTTACGCCAAATCTTATTACTTTTTGGATATGCTTAATAGACAACAAAATATTTCTGTATAATACTACAAATATTTATGGTTATTTACATTACATTATATATTATGTTTTAATAGTGTAAGTGCAGCTTTGTTCACAAGTTTTTTTAATTTATAGTATCCTAAAATATATTAGATATTCCATAAAGTAAAATTGTCGTTTTCTATAATAGAAATCGTTTATCTATAATAGAAAATTTACGTAGAAGTACAGAAAAATACGAGAAAACAGATCTAACAATTGTATGCAATACAAACAAATAATTCAAAATAGCATAGTCAATAATGGTAAAACGTTATGTTTATTAAGCAAAG